TTTCATGTGGTAGACTTTATTCAAGTGTAACAAACGTAAGTGAAATGTATGGACGAGTCATAATACTCGTACCTTCGAAAGTTACGACTTTTACTCTTGGAATTGGTGATAAATACATGCATAAAATACAACATTGTTTCACGCAACAACAATTCGTATACAGCATTGGACTTATGGATTTTTATATTAATAAAATACGTGGGCCGATAATATTACTATATGCTTAGTATTTCCATGCCAGCGATGCTCGTAACCTGCTCGATTTAAAAACAGCTATTTGAAACAAAGACTCATGGAATCACAAAGGAAACTGTTAAGTACGTATTTCACACCTTTCCTACGACCGCGGTTGCAACCGGTATCGGTGGCCACCGCGGTAGAGACCCCTAATTATAAGCAGTCCGCGGCTCTCCCCGGTGTACCGCGGAGAGCCGCGGTGATTACCGCGGTGAACCGCCCGTTTGATTTCCTACTCTTCCCTAAGTGTGATGATTTAGAATCTCCATATGAATACAAGTGTGGTGCTTTAGAATCTCCATATGAATACAAGTGTAGTGATTTAGAATCTCCATATGAATACAAGTGTGGTGATTTAGAATCTCCATATGAATACAAGTGTGGTGATTTAGAATCTCCATATGAATACAAGTGTGGTGCTTTAGAATCTCCATATGAATACAAGTGTAGTGATTTAGAATCTCCACATGAATACAAGTGTGGTGATTTAGAATCTCCATATGAATACAAGTGTGGTGCTTTAGAATCTCCATATGAATACAAGTGTAGTGATTTAGAATCTCCACATGAATACAAGTGTGGTGATTTAGAATCTCCATATGAATACAAGTGTGGTGATTTAGAATCTTCATATGAATACAAGTGTGTTAATTTTGAATCTCCATATGAATACAAGTGTGGTGTTTTAGAATCTCCATATTAATACAAGTGTGGTGATTTAGAATCTCCATATGAATACAAGTGTGGTGATTTAGAATCTCCATATGAATACAAGTGTGGTGATTTAGAATCTCCATATGAATACAAGTGTGGTGATTTAGAATCTCCATATGAATACAAGTGTGGTGATTTAGAATCTCCATATGAATACAAGTGTGGTGATTTTGAATCTCCATATGAATATAAGTGTGGTGATTTTGAATCTCCATATGAACACAAGTGTGGTGATTTAGAATTCCCATATGAATACAAGTGTGATGAATGAATGTACTGAATTCTGATTACATGTCTCCATTCATTGTGTATTACAGGAAAAGGAAAAACCCAGCCTACGAGGGTTTTCATGATATTTCTTATCAGAGAAAGACGCAGGACATTAAATCAAAAGATACAGAATCGTCCGACTTTTGTCAGTGTGTGAGAAGTTATTCTATGACCATTATTATTCTATTCTTGGCGTTATTGGCTCTGGTTTTAGTTGTTCTGATGATATCTGGTGTTCTTAGTACCGGTAAGTTTACAATATTATGGCTATGGTTGTGTATGTGCATGTAACAACTATACAATGGTTTACTTGATTTATTGCAAAGTACTTTTTGTAAAATACTTTATTTTTGTAGCTGGAATTAATTTTCGCTGAAAAGACATTTTGTGTATTTGGTATGGAATTTATTTTCACTGATTTTTTGGCAAAATGAATATAAATATAGGAAAAAAAGAATTTTCGCTTGATTTTATTTCCAATGAATCATCCCTTCAGCAAAAGTAGCAAAAATTTTACAGCTGTTAATTTCAAATCTTGTATCAAATTTGTGCACAATTTACTATGAGAATAGTGTCTGAAAATCTTGTACATGTTTTATTATTTTGACAAGAATAACCCAAGGAAGGCTGCAGGAAAAGAATGTTTTCTTGATTGAGATTGCAGTAGTTGGCGTCTATATTCAGTGACCTGCTGACAATAATTTACTACCGACATTGTTTTTTTCATGCATGTTTTGAAACAATGGGATTTATGCTCACATAACACAGTAGCATGTATAGCAATGCACAGAAGATGCTCCATTACATTGAAGGAAACAGAAATTGACAATGCTAGAAAAGGGGTTATTGTTGCAAACTCTTCAACTCTAAATTTCAACTGCAACAAAATTTTCATAAACTATGAAATATTTCCACTGTAAAATCAAATATTGTGAATTTTCATATAGTCTAAATTTGTAGAAAATATTAAAGATAGTGTGAACTTACATCAATGGTTAATAACAAGACAGCGCAAATTTAGTACAACAATCTGTACAAAGATATAATATTGTTACCTTTACAAATATAAATTAAGCATCTGTTCATTTTATTCTTGGTAATCCTCATCCCCGAAAATGTCAAACTGGTCAGTAAATATTGCCCACCCTCACCCATGTCTCCATGCATCCTTAATTCTATGTGCATCTATACATCAAAGGTGTTAAACTTTATATATTGATATTCCCTGCAGCCACATGTTATGAATATTTAATGAGATTTAGTCATCAGATAAAGGTAATGAACTGCCTACGTATAAAATGAGCAACCTTTCTGTGAACTCACTATCGATTGAGTCGTGAGATTTAAAATCTCATTTAGGTCATACTCTATTATCACATACACAAAAAAACCAATCATGCCGAGAACCGCACTCATTTGGTTTGATCAGAATGGCATGTCTCGGATGTTGATCTTCGGAACGTCACTGTTGGCTAGTGCCACCTTTTACAAAATTTTCTTTCATATTTTTTGATATTTAGTCTTTGTTCGGATGAAGTTTGACTTGTGTTTTGACTTGTGCGTCTTCACCTGTATTTAGACATGCCTTGACTGATCACTTTCAAACTTCACACATACACGTCTCCTCGGAAACATGTACATGTATATTGATTTGTCCGATTCCATTCAAGATGGCAGCCATTTTAATCAAAATCAAGCATTTTTGTCAGTGGGAAGTGATGATATTGGAAAATGTAAAAGATTTAAATGAAATTGAGCAGTTTAAGGGGGAAAACAGTTTGGTGCTCATAGGATATATATTGTACATCTCTATTGGTGATCTTGTTGTATTCAAAGGCACTCTGTGTTTTCTTTCATATTAATTGAAACAGATTTTGAAACTCGTGTTAAAATTATTAATAAAGTCCAGTTAATGATCAGAATTTTTTTTGGGTGTAAATCAGGGGCTGTTGTTGGTGAGGCATCACCTCAGGTGGCTATATCTGAAGATCTAACACCTGAGAAATTAGAACACAGGATACAACAGCTGGAATCTCTGAACTTGGCTCTCCTGGAACGAGTAAGTATTACATAGATACATAAATAGTATACAAGTTTAGAGAGATGCATGTATGAAAGTTATAACCCTTGATCTTATGAATGCCAATTCTTTTTCACCTTTCACAATCTACATGTGTAAACCTACAAAACATTTTTTTCCATAATCTTTATTTTTTCAAAACCTGTAGCCGATGAGAAACAGACGGTTTGGTCCATAATTAATAAAGAAATTATAGAAAAATACATAAGAAATGTGATAAATGTTGTACTAAATTTTTTGAGGTAAAAATTAAGGCATTTGAACCATTAAATATACAGCAAAGTCTTTATTGGTTGTCTAAAATGTAATTTTAGTTAAAAGTCATATTTAACACTTTGAGTGTCATTGTCAACTGTTGGCTTCATCTACACATTGATCGTGTACAATCTGATCCTTTCCACTTGAAATGTTGATTACAATTTTACAACTCTGTTGATCAAAAACTAAAAGCAATATCTAAAATTGTCTGCATGGTTCAAAATGATGATGAAATTTAGTGACAATTTTACAAAAAAAAATGTGGAAATATTTGTACTGAATTTCTGGCAGGTTGAATAAATAAATATTTAACAAAATATTCAAATATAATATTGAGCCAAACTATCAATTTCAATTTAAAAATCAAAACAAAATTATTTAATATAAATAAAATGTTGACTTTTATAACATTTTGAAATAACAGCCAGCAATGAGTAATTAAATGTAAATGTATATCAGATTGCTTCACAACTACATGTTATATATTAAAAAACATTGCATTAAATTTTAGGAATGGGTAGAGTGTGTACAAAAAATTCCATAGCTTTATTCAACAGTGCTATACGTGTGTTTATAATTGCAGGTTGTACAGTTGGAAGAAAAGCTATCTGGAGGGCAAGCTAATGCTTCTATTAATACCAAATTAGCACAGAATTCAATCATGGTAGGTGTGATGCAACAAGATAATGGGTCTGTTGAGAAAACTCATCTGGATTTGTCAGCCATTTCTAGAATGTCTTTATAACACATGAAATAAACATTGGAAACCATAGTTACCTACATGTTTTATCTACGGCGGAGATATGTTCATGTTACTAATGTCATTTTAGGGTATTCACAAAGTATCAACCTAAAGAATTCCAGTGACATTTTCACTAATGCAAATTTGCGAAATAAAATCAGTTAGCATTTTTTTTTTCATTCATCAATAAGAGCCTTGTTACCAGAGAATTTTTTGTTCAAAATGGCCACCTGAGCAAGGTATATCATGATTTACCGGGTACTTGATTGATCAGCAGTATGAAGATTTTGTTGGTAGCACACCATATTAGTGAAAAATTGGTAAAAATATCTCGCATTACCGGGTAGCTTGAAAAGCATACGTTTTGATCAGGACGCCATTGGTGGACTGGGGATTTCTTTGATATGCACAGAAATTTTATTTTGACATGGCAATATATATCAGACTCTGTGATAAAAATTGAATTGTATCTAAAAATCCTGGGATCTACTTACTAAAATTCAGTTGAGACACTACACTTTATTTTTAGACTTATCCTCACAATCCATACAAGGTTAGTTCTGCTAGAGGGCACAGAACTGATTACTACATAGTGAGATTTCCCACAAATCAGTACAGTAAATGATATACCACATTCACTTCTATATCAGCACATACGTATTGAAGCCAACAATCATTTCCTGAAAACAGAGACACCAACACAATATTTAAATATTACTGTAAAATAATTTATTTTATTTGGAATTAATTTTCGCTTAAAATGAAGTTTATTTTCACTTATTTTTGATGAGTTGAATTTAAAATATAAGAAAAATGTATTTCACTGGATTTCATTTACAATAATTCACCCGTTCAGGGAAAATAGCGAAAATAAATTTTGAGTGAAAGTAAAGTATTTTACAGTACAGTCCAGACATAACTGGCTATCAGTTGGCTTTAACTTTTCATAAAAAACTAATATTTTTTTCAAAGAGAGTATTCTTTTCAATAATTTCAGATTATTCTGTTTAGTATTTACCATTAATATTTTGCACGATTTAGAAATATGTCAGTTTTAAAATGAAGCTAAGCTAGAGTTACAGTTGGACGTACTTCCAAAAAGAAAAATGCATTAATAAATACATTCCCAATTTCAACAATTCAGCTTTACTGTTCATTTTCCAATCTTTGAGATTAGTTTAAATTGTAAATGATTAGATAACTATCACAGTTGCCACACCTTGTTATGAGTTCTGTGTGGATTATACTAGTGTAAAATACAGTTAGTTTACATGGACATTGAATCACTGTTACACTCTAACATGTGCATTTTTGAAATCAAGAAAAAAAAACAAGTGAGAAACATGCCTGTAGGTTGTGTGTACATTATATTTGAATAAGTCCCATACTGTATTATAAAGCTGAAGGGGTGGTTCATTAGTTAGCTAGACTCTGAATCAAATATAAAAGAAAAACAGTGAATCCCTCTGAGCAAACACTTGTCTGCAAATCTGTCTACAAATTTGAACCTAGCCATCCCTTCAGAAATAAATAGTATACCCCTTTGCTTACTGTTGTATTTTGTACTCATCCGGTGTAGGAAATGAAAGCTTCTTTTACATTCTGCACACTTGCATGACAGGATGTGTTAGATAGGACTGCATGGGATTAACGAAAAATCAATTTACACAATTCAGGATCTTTCAGTTTTTCTCATGGTAGCAATTTTAACTATGCTTTTAATCATGTGATCACTGACTGAATTGCTAATTTGCATACAGATCGGTTTTATTGTTGGACATAAGTAATTAAGGATAGGTCTGTAATTAGTTTGTCAATCCCTTCAGCATAATCTGTAGATACATGTAATGGATTTGTCTGGAATATTTTCTTGATTTAAAATATATTCTGAAACTTTCTAGTATAAGATTGATAAAAATAGAGATATTACAAAGGCGTGGCTATGGTCAAAATAAATTTTCCAATGATCCAGCACACAATAAATTATGTGCTTCTAATAGAGCAAATATGGTATTTAAATTTTTCTATTTCAATGTACAGATTGAGAAAATCAGATAATTTCTTGCAGGCTTATATTGCCTTTAAAAATGAAATATTGCTTACAGTACATGTACATTCATTTAGAATTTTGTTCTTGATTTGGAATGCAAATGTAATTTTTTGTGTGGAGATTTACGTGATTGTCTGCCAGTGATTTGTTATTGTTTGGAATGCATTGTGTACCAATTATTCTATTTATGATTCATGGTACGCGACTCACTCATTTCTCACCATCTCTGTAGATGACACAGCTTGCTCAGAATTTCACAAGTCAGAAAGAGGACATTGGTCATATAAGTGATGAAGTAGACATAGTTAAAGTCATTGCAAACTCCAATAAACAAGACCTGGCCGATGTGGAACTGAAAGCTACAGTAACTGACAATGAAGTAGGTACCCTCCTTTATAGTTGAAATTAATGGAGGGGAGAGGGACAATTCTTATTTTCAATCTAAATGCTATTCTCCAATTTGTAAACTTCAAGATATCTAAGTACTGTAAAATACTTTATTTTCGCTGATTTTTGACGAGTTGAATGTAAAGTATAGGGAAAAGGGTATATTCGCTGGATTTTATTTTCACTGAATCATTCATTTCGTGACAATTAATTCCAAGCGAAAATAATGTATTTTACAGTAACTCATTGTGCTTGCTACACTGCCGTCACAGTATGTTTAACATCAATTAATTCATTAAATAGTTCAGTGATCGAAGCTAGAAATCTGTTGATGTATGCATGTTCATGTGTACTCACCAATTATTTATACAACTTATTCAACAACCAACCGGCTTGATTTAAAATTCTTTTTGTAGTTTGAAAAATCCAGACTTCTATAAAAAAATGTTTACTTTTTTTTAGATTCAACAACTGAGATATCAAATTGGAAATCTGTCAGAAGAGGTGTTCTCTAAAGATACTATACGAAGTGGACAAATTATAAACTTGCAGCAGCAAATCACTGGCCATGCTACACAGGTATGAATATGAACAGCTGAAATGTTTTGTTTTAGGACCAGGGGGTATTTTGCTGCACCAGCCAAACTAAAAATGATTGTAAGCAATAATCACACTAAACTGATTGATTCATCAATCCGAGCTATATAATCACATTTAAGGATATAATCTTTCACACAATCAGAATTTATCCAAATCCTAAGCTACTCTGCTATCACAAAAAAAAAAATGTTTTGGTTATTGTCATAATATTAATTGGGGGAATTTTGTTTATCATCTCTAAGAATCCTAAACTGACTAAATCTCATATATGCTGACCAGAAGCTTAGTATTACTCACCATGTTTACAAAAGTCACTTTTGGCTTATGACCTCTGTTCAACAAATGACTTTAAAAGTATGCATTGTTCGAATTTCAATTACTGAGTCAGGCATCACTGAGTGTTGATGACCCCTAAAGGTAGAGAGGTCATATGGAGATGCAAGTGAATCATGATAATATGCAGATTTGACAGTACTATTCACCAGATAAATCTTATTCACATCTGTTGAATCTGATGATACGTTTACCCTGACAGTTTCATTTAGTGATCTGGGCATAACAAATTTGACATAACAAATCAAGGTTTTGTTTGGGGGTTGGGCTGAACATCTACCTTAAGTTGTGATTAACAGAAATGGTCACATAAAAAATATGAACATATTATGTTTACGTACATGTACTATCAGAATGTTTTCTGCACATTTTGACTAGCAACAACTCTTTGGCCTGATAGGTCAAATCTGGTTAATAACGTGCAGCGATTTTATTTTCACTGATTAAAGTACTACTCCCAGTAAATACAGTATTCTATTGTATTGTCCTGCATGTATTCAAAATTTTCTTCCCCACAATTCATCAGATAGTTTTCTCAAATATTAGTTGTCAAGCTTCTCTTTTGAATTAATTTTAATGTTTCTCCAATACTCTCAGCACAGTTCTTTCTAAGCTATCTTTGATTTTTTTGTTGTTATAGATTTCTGACATAGATGTAATGCTAGAGAGTCTTGAGTATAGATTCAGTATGAAACTGATGGTAATGAATGCATCAATGTATGATGAACTTGACCTGATTAGTAAAATGCCCGGACCGAGAGGATATAATGGATCAGATGGTGTTCAAGGTCAACCTGGAGCTGGTGCCCTATCAGCTTGTAAATATATCAAAAGAAGTGGCGGGAGTGGAGTGAACTTAGAGACTGTGACAAACACTGTGTATGCTGATACGGTAAGTTTTTTTAATTTAATTTTTCCAACATTGTTACTGCAAGGATATGTATGTATGTACAAAGTATGGTTGCTGTATTCTCGTAATAACCTTATGAATCTTTTTGAACTTACCGATAGTTTTCAAAAGTGTCATTCATATTTTGGAATTAAAATTTCCTAATAAATGTAAGGTGCCAACCCCCCAAATGTGTGACGCACTGTATAAACTTTGAGAGATGTATATAATATAGTGATGAGAGAACACATCACTTCTTGTTAAAAATTGTTTGAGAAAACAAATATTGTTGTTGTATTTGGAACTGTATTCTCAATGTGCCAACATTACAAGGAGAATATGATTGTCAGAGAATGCACATTTACCTTACAATCAATTGTAAGGAGTACACTAAGGTAATAGTATGTTTCACATATCTGCTGCAGCTCTGTACTGTTTGTAATAAACACAGAAGTCTGACGAAGCAAACCACTAAGTCCTCCATTACCACAAATTTTGTGAGATGTGTTAAATCCCCTAACATTTATTTCGCAATTGGCTCAAACGTCATATTTCAGAATCCTGGAC